AATTTGTATTTTTTTTTCTTGTAGTGTTTTCCTGAATCTTTTAATGCTTTATTGTGTTCTCTTTGCTTTCCTTGATCTTTCTATCGATTCTTTGAAAGTACCTGATTATCATTCTTTTGAATTCTTTTTCAGTTAGTTCCATTACCTTTTTTTCCTGAGAAACATTTTCTGTCTTTCCATCTTGGTCATTTGCTTGAGCTGTTCTCGTTTCTTTCATGAGAGCTAAAATTGTTTGTTGTTCTGGCGTATTGTGTGGTTGTCGTATTTGTCAAAACAAACAGTGCTGAGGGGAGAAAAGTCTGCAGTATAAGAGCTCATAAGTTGGTTGTGGAAGAGATGTGACAGCAGAGTTCCTGGCCCTAGATTTGAGAGATTTGTTCTTATTGGCCTCTGTGTTATGTGTGTTAAGGGCATTCAATCCAAAACTAGTTTGTTGGGGGCCCTTGATGGAGCTGGTTTCAGTGTCTGTTAGGACTACAGGGAAGTTGGGGGCAGTGTGACTAGTTAAATGCTGGTATGGTAACTGCAGGTTTTGTAGATCTAGAGCCAAGCCCACCCAAATTCAGGAACTAAAGTGGCACAGCCAACTCCCACCTCATACTGGTGTGGCTCCAAACCAAGTGATTCTGTACTCCTGGGGAGCTGGGTCTGCACTAGGGGTGAATAGAGTTGGAGCTGACCACACTTCTGGTCACCAGGAGTATAGGGAAAAAGAAGAAATTGCATCTTTTCCCTCACCTGCATGAATTTGCTCTGCTAGGCCTCCCTCCACCACCAAAGCTGCCCACTAAATGGTTGCACCTTGTCTGGCCAGGCATTCACCAGTCAGTTTCCCTTTCTTACCATCCCTGCTCAGCCTTTCTTTCCCAGCAAGCACGTCTTCCACCTTACTAACCTTTCCTCTGAAGTTTAGGGTGCCAGAATTTTCATCTGTGTCTCTCATATCTTTTTTGTAGAAGGTCAGTGTAGTGTGTCAGCCTATTCTATCATCTTTCTGGAAGTCCAATTTGGCTCTACTTGTGAAGCCTTGTTTTCTTGGGTTCTTCTGATTTTGGTGTTGTTACTTGTTTTTTTCCCCCAGTAAGCTTTTATTGTGAATTGAGTGATAGTTTACTCACTAAAACTGAGAACATCGGCTTTATGCTCATTGTTTCATTGCAACAATTATAGTCTCCTCCGTGCATCATCATTCAATAGCGTTTGCTTCTATTCCCTCTGTTTGTTTGTTTGTTTGTTTTGTGTGTGCAGGGGGAATGTACACAGAAACACTTAGGAATATATAATCATTTAAACAACCAATGGGCACATTCTGAAAACCTGCCTCCTGGCCACCAACACACACCCTTTCTCTTTCCATGAGTCTAGAGTCCTCAGCTGCGCTCTCTCTCCCCATGTCCTCATCTCTGCCTCCACCTCTGGTGCTGCTGCTTCTCTGGATACAGTCCCACATTCTGCTCGTGCTCTTCTCCCTTGATGGTCTTAGGATCCTCTGTTCCTGGACTGTAAGATTAAGTACTACCCCGTTTTTATTACAAAACTTCTACCTTTACAGTTGTGACATTCGCAATTAGTCATGATAACAATTATTCACTATTGAATCATAAGAATCTTATCCCCATCTCCTTTCATCAGACCTGTCTAGACAAGTTGAAAACTATTCTGTGTGGATTCTAGCTTCCCCTGCATACTCTGAAACTAAACTCCTTCTTGAAAACTTGTAAGCTAGTCACTTTGTGCCTTTATTGCTCACCAGTGAAATAGGCTTCTTGCAGAGCCTTTGTAGTGTATAGGACCTTAGGTGTAATCCTAAGCCCATCCAGACCCTTCTGAAGTGTGACATTACCCCTTGAAAGGACAAGAAGACCAACCTGGAACAGCTAGAGGAACAAAAGATACTTCTTGAAAGAAACACCAGCAGGAAAAATCCAAAACAAAAATGGCAGTCTGATTGGCTACTACAGGAATAAGCCAGTTGTTCACCGGGGAGCCATCAGGACAAGCAGTCACGTTCCTTCAGGACAATCACCCTTCCAAGACTGAAACTCAAAGGGAACACATGAGCAGGCATGTAAGATTGCTGATGACCATGTTGGTCAGCTTCTGAGTGGAAGAGCGGGAAAGGCAGCAATGAAGATATGGGCTGAGTTCGACTATGTTCCATAGACTCCTGTCAACCTAGAGATGAGAGAGAGAGAGAAGAGGAAGGGCTGGTTGGTCCAAAGTGTGATGAGACCGGGGGACTCGTGAGCCCATGGACAGGGAAATAGCCACAGAGGGCTAGAGCTGAAAGTGAAGTGTCCAGCTGATGTGAACTGAGGGGAGACGCACAAGAACACCCAAACTTATAGATAGTACTCATTCGATGTAGCCTCGATGGCTTGATGATCAGATCTCTACCAGAGGAAGATAAATAAAAATTTTGATTATTGTTACTTTAAAGGATTATGTGCTCTACCTTAAAAGTTTTAGGCAAAAATTAAATATATATGTATGTTTATGCATACACAAATTGATCACACTCAAGTCTTAACAATTATGCTGTCTGGGTGGTATGATTAAAATAGGTTTTTAATTACCTTTTGGTATTTTTTGAATTAAAAACATGTTTATAATGAAATGTGCCTTACTTTTCAGAAACAATGTTCTTATGGAATTTTTTGTGTCTTAATGTGGAGAGATAGCTGCAGGCTTTTCTGTGGGAGTTGTTTATCAGATTTTGCAGGAAGGAAGGTTAGTGCCAGAAAAATAGGTAGAATCTAATTTTGCCTTGGCAGAGGTATTATCTTGTTCTTCTGACTGCCTAGAGGCTCAGATTTAAGCAATTGGGAAAGTCGATAGACATTTTCCTAGTTTACTACCTTATTACTATTTTTGCACTGCGTATCTCTGAGGAGAGGCAAATGTATATCTGAACTACAACCACACTATGCCTTTTATTTGTCTAGTTATAGTTCATAGATTCCATCTTTGATGGAGAAGCAGGTAAATGTCAGGTGAGTACTACTGGTTAACTTCTACAATACTGTGTGTACTCTTGTTAATACATTCTTTTTTTTTTTTCCTGGACTTAAGTTGAGATCTTGTCAAATTGAATTTGAAATGTCATAAGCCATGTATTCTGTTTTGGAGATGATGGCATGGCCCTTTTACCTCTACTTCCACCCTCTCACCCATAAAATTCCTGGAAAGCAAATAAGCTTTGATGGTGTTCGCCATTTGGAATTTTAGAATAGCTTTTTCTTGACCTTTTGTTTATGTGTTTATTGTTGTTGTTAAGTGTCTCCATGTCAGTTGTGACACATAGTAAGCTTGTATAGTTTCTGAGGGTTGACTAGTGAGTTGGAACCACCAACCTTGTGGTTCACAACCGACCTTGTGCGCCAGTGCTTATCCTACAGCACCATAACAGGTTTGGTGGCGGTGGTGGTTATGTGCTATGGAGTTGGTTCTGACTCAGAACGAGCCTGTATAGGGTTTCTGAGGCTGTAAATCTTTGTTGTTGTTGTTGTTAGGTGCCATGGAGTCGGTACCTACTCATAGCAACCTTATGCACAGCAGAACGAAACACTGCCTGATCCTGGGCCAACCTCACTACTGTTGCCACGCTTGAGTCCATTGATGCTGCCACTTGGCTAGTCCATCTTGTTGGGTCTTCTTCTTTTTCCCTCTGACCCTCCATCTTGCCAAACATGATATCCTTCTCCAGTGACTGGTCCCTTCTGACAATATGTCTGAAGTATGAGAGATGAAGTTTGGCCATCTTGGCCTCCAAAGGGCACTCTCGCTGCACTTCTTCAGGGGAGCAGAAAGCCTTATCTTTCTCCTGCGGAACAACTGGTAGTTTCGAAGTTCTGATCGTGAGATTAGCAGCCCGACATGTAACCACAGAGCTCCATATAACAGGTTTAGAGCCCAGATACTGAGATTGCCTTTTTCTTTCTTTCTTTCTTTTTTTTTTTTTAATTAGAATGTGAATTTTTGGAGACCAAGAGACCTTGTCTGTTAGTTCAGTATGATAGTTCCTGCCATATAGGCAATTCTAAGTAAATATTTGTTGAGTGAGTAACTTTGACTGAATGGAAAATGATCAAGAGTTCACAGCTTTCTTGATTATATGTGCACAGTGCAGGGTGAAGGATAGGCTGGATCCTGTTTTCCAGTTAAAAGTTTCTAATGTCTGATTTTCATTGCCAGTGTGCTCTCTGCAGTCATGAAACCTTTCTAGATTTTGTAGTGCTTACAGCAGGTCGAAACTGCCAGCTGTTCTGCAGGAGAAAGATGAGGCTTTCTGCTCCTATAAAGATTTACAGCCTCAGAAACCCTGTACAGGGTTGCTATGAGTTGGAACCAGCTCCACAGCACATAACCACTACCACCACCACCCCTGGTGTGGCGCTGTAGGATGAGCACTGGACTGAGATCCACAAAATCATGAGTTCAAACCCATCAGCTGCTCCTTAGAAACCCAGGGTTTCTATGAGTGTGAAACCAACTGAATGGCACTTTAACAACAACATAGCTGGTATTTGAGGAGTGGGAAGGGGAACAGACCTGACTCTTCAGGAGCAAAGTACTAGTCTGAAAGTGAGGACTGTTTTAAGGACTAGATGACTGTCTGGAAGATGGTCAGCTGTCCATCAGGCTTTTACATATTGTTGTTGTTAAGTGCCATCAAGTTGGTTCTGACTCAGGATCTATATAGGTTTTCTGAGGAATGGCTGGTGGGTTTGAACCTCCTACTTTGCTATTAGCAGTCCAGTGCTCATTCAACAGTGCTGTACTAGGACACCAGTCTAGTAGATAAGAAAAAAATTTCGTGGGAAATTCCGTTGCCTAGGAGGGGAGCAGTAAGAACTGCAGTAGTATATGTTGATTTTCATTCATGAATTTTGTGGGGCAAAAAAGTGAGAATGTTTTTTTTTTTTATGATGCACATCTGTATTTTCTATAGAAATGTGTTCTGGGTGATTCACAGAGAAGAGTTTATTTTTTCTTTGCAGATGAGCACCGGCTTCACAGTGGCAAACTCTGCTTGATTATTCTTACATGTATTGCAGAGGTAGGTCTTCTGGTATTAGCTAATCTCGTATAAAATGCTATCTTTTCCTGCCATTTCCCCCCAGTTCCTGTCTCTTGACTTCAGGGTCTTAAATCTTTGGGAAATCTTGGGATTGAAATTCTTTCCCTTTTATATTGCCTGTCACCTCCCACTAGAATGCAAGTTCTGACACAGGACTTTGTCACTTTTACCACTATATTCTCAGTGCTTGGCACATTGTAGAGACTCAGCTAATAGTTGTTAGATGAGTTAGTAGTGAATTGTGATAAGATGAGATTTTCTCCTGTTAAAAGGGAAAAAAAAATCTTCCCCTTTGAAGTTGTTCATGTAGGGTCTTTTGCATTTAGCAAATTAAAGGAGCTCAGGTTTCCTGGAAAGGGAGAGAAAACCAGCAAGGGGGGTCAGAAACTCTGTATAGTTGGGCTGGTTGCATTTTGAATGAGAACTACAAAGGGAAAAAGAAAAAGGGGCTTTGATTTTGTAGGGAGGCCCCTTTGGTTGGCTTAACTAGATGTGCACACTGGATCTTGGTGACATGCAGGTATGAACTTGAGCCAGTTTAGAACTGACATCACAGCTTCAAATTCTTCCTTCACCATTTCTTACTCTCTCCTCTTTTCTCTCTCTTGAAAAATAGTAAAGGTGGTCTACCTGGAGTTGAGATCTCTTAGTCTTTTCCATTTTATGTTCTCTGTGAAAAGATAACGTACTTTTCACAAGGTTAGTGATTGCTGACTATAGAAGAACTACTTATTAGCAGTAGGCCTAGTGTAATTGCTTTTCAAAAATCTTTCTAAGAAAATCTTTAAAGGAGTTGTTTTTCACAAATTGTAACAGCTCTTAGTAATTGCAGTCTGTAGGCACGTCAGAGCTTTACAAAAGGTGTTGGGAACGGGCCAAGGGATGTTTATTACTGATCCATGGTGAGAGTTTTTTGATTTCCCATCCGTCTTCAGCAAAGTCAGGGACAGACAGGGTCTTGCCTGCTGCTGTGCAGCCTGTGTAGCAGCTCTTTCCTGCTGTGCTGAGCCTGTTCCCAGCAGACCTTTCTTCTTATTCATAAAGCCTCATGTGGAGCCTGCACATGCATCCTGCAGCCCCTATGAAACCTTCAAGCTGTCACAAATAGAGCTAGTACCTTAGGCAGATGGAAAGGAAGAGAGAATAGGAAAACAGACTCCTTTGAGCATTTGCCTCAAGTCCCAGGGTCTTAATTTTTATCATTTGTAATTTGCTTAGAATTCTTGACCAGTTAGACATACTAGGAAATTGCATCCAAGTAAAATCTCATGGCTTACATAGAGTTTGAATACAGGCTGTAGACACATTCCAGTAGTTTTGCAACTTATCTTTGAAAGTACTTCTTAAAAAAAAGTCCAAGGATTTTTAGAAGGTATGGTAGCTTGCAAACTGAATTTCGTACGTGTAGCTCTCATTCCTTACTTTTTCTCTATATTTTTGTTTTTATTAGGATCAGTATGCCAATGCGTTTTTGCATGATGACAATATGAATTTTCGAGTAAACTTACATAGAATGGTAGGTATGACTTTTGCTTCTTGTTTTTTCTTAGAAGAAATTTTTTGTGTGTATGTGTGTTGGCAGGGATTAAGGGGAGGTTGAACTTAATCCTACTAGAAAAAATACAGGTGGAAAAGTTGTGACAAGGGTGCCTTGTTTGACTTTGCTGTTTAACAGAACCATGCCTGCCTATTATTAGGATTTTTTTGTGTGTCATGGAATTGTTTCTTACTCAAGAGAGGATGGAAAGAGCTACAGCTGTAATCTCATGGCAGTAATATCGGAAACGTATCTGTAACATAAGTTTCAATTGTTGTTAAGTGCCGTCAAGTCGGTTCTGACCCATAGCGACCCTGTATAGGGTTTCCAAGGAGACGCTGGTGAGCTTGAACCACCAACCTGGCAGTTCAAACGGCTTTGCAGTCTGGCACATTAACCCACAGCGCCATACTAGAACTCATTAGGATGAATCTAAACCTTTCATCTTTAAAATGCAGTACTACCTGTGGTTTGTATAGAATTGTTGTTGTTGTTAAGTGCCGTTGAGTCAGTTCTGACTCATAGTGACCCTGTATAGGGTTTTCTGAGGAGTAGCTGGCAGATTTGAACTGCTGACCTTGCAGTTCAAATCAACCTGGTAGTCCAGTGCATTATTCTGCAGTGCCAAACCAGAACAGAGCTCCTACTTAATTTGTCTGAGAGGTGGAGGAAATAGAATATGGAGATTAAGGGAATTTCCTAAAGCTTGGAGGTATGTTCAAAAATAACATATTAAAGTTTATGTTTCAAAGTTGTATTTGTTTTTTGCTATTGCTGCTGTTACTGCACCCACAATGGCTGCCATCACCTCCTCCTCTTCTTTTTCTTATTTTATTATCAAAGAAATACATACCAGTATAGTGTTATTATAGTTACTAATGTCACTTATATATGTAAAATCAAAATCTTTCCCTTTGTAGTATGAATGGGCTTCAAAAAGTTTGTAGAAAAGTGAAATGAAAAGATAATGGCATCTTCCATTAGCTTTTTGAAGTCCGTTTACGTGCTTCAGTGCCCTTTAGAGCTGTTGCTTTGCTGTAAATTTTTTGGGCCTGCACTGATAACTGAGAAGCATTTCTAAGTCCTCCCTACCTCACCCAACCCCTACCACTAGAAAGAAGAAAATCTCAGTAGCAGTGAGTTGATTTGCATGAGAAAAATTATGATGAGCCATTCATTGTATGGCAGCTCAGGTATCTACTAATTTCTTTTTTTGTGTGTGTGTGTATATGAAGCCTATGAGACACAGGAAGAAGGCAGCAGACAAGAATCTTCCCTGCCGACCTTTAGTGTGTGCAGTGCTGGGTGAGTGAGTATCATCAAAATGGTCATTTTCTAAGATAGTTATAGTTTTTCTTGATTAAGATGAGGGATAAATCCTAGTTGATGTGTTTCTTTCTTCAAGAAGAAATTACTAGTCATGTTTCTTCTCTGGCCTAAGAAACTGTGTTTGTTGTTATGTTTGGTAAGACAATTCCAATGAAAAGAGCAGTCAATAAAAAGGCATTATTGTTTAAAGAAAAAGATCTTTCCAGGGAGACAAATGTCTATGACTAAGCTTGATGCATAATTTACATTCATAAAATATATCATTCTTGATCAAGATTTCAAATTCATTCCTCCAAATTTATGTGTCAGCGGGTCCGGAGACTTTGAAGTTCATGGTGGTGGTTGTTGTTAAGTGCCATCTAGTTGGTTCCGACTCATAGCGACCCTATATAGGGTTTCCAAGGAGCAGCTGGTGAGTTTGAACTGCCATCCTTGTGGTTTAAATTGACCTTGTGATCAGTGCTTATCCTCCAGGACTCTACTTGATTTTAGAAACAGTAATTAATATTATATAATAAGCCTCTACTGACCTGGAACCCCACAGACAATATCAGTCATTTTCTGTCAAACTGAGTGTGGTAGTGAGATGAGATAGACTGTCATTAGTAGAACTGGTCTCTGGTTACACAGGTGTGAGCCATCATTTTGAGTCTACTTACCTCATTGGTCTGTTCTCAGAGCATGATTTCCCTCTGGTATTTTGCGTTAGTGGCATAGTATAGAACATCTGTACAGTGAACTCTTTTTTCTAAGTTTATTGGCAGAACAAAGTATTTTTATGGAAGTAAGAGAGTGAACTAATTTTCTTGTTAGTTTATAGGTGAAAGGTGGTGAACAGTGTCACAAAAAATGCCTTATATAAAATAAAATTTAAGTGCTTGTGAATACAGATGTGGTTTGGGGATACCATTTGCATGAGTGCAAGGTGCTTTTTTCCAGCTCAAAGACATTCTGATTGATCTCATTTTTCCCTTTCCCCTTTTAGATTTGATGGTAGAGTTTATTGTAACACACATGATGAAGGAGTTTCCTATGGATCTCTATGTGTAAGTACCATGGCTCATTTATTGTGTGCAAATTTATAGAATTGAGTGACAGGAAAACACATTGGTGTGTGTGAGGAAGTGTCAAGGAACAATATATGGCCTGAATTTATGCATCTTATCAGAAACGGGGAAAGTACAAATCACAGTTTGTATTCTACACATACTCAGTATCACTTACAGACACACTGCATGAAGACCATGTGTTAAAGCAGTAATTATGGGAACCCGGAACCCATTGTAACCCAAAGATATGGCATACCAGCCGTCTATTTAGTCATCCCTGACGTTGGTTGTCAGCACTAATGAGAAGGAAAGGTGAGGCCAGAGAGTTTCTGGTCCACTCTTAGCTTCCCTGGACCTAGCAGCCTAGCCAGAACCTTGCTATGTAGACTATGACTATAGTGACTAGGCTGGAAGATTCCTGTGTTCTAATTGCCCATCACAGTTCTTTACAGTGAGTCCAACTAGGGGCAACTGAAAACCATGCTTTTAAAAAAAGTTTCTATGTGTGCAGTTTAGCGACATTGACTACATTCTCACTCTCCTTTTCTGAGTTGTTCTTCCTACATTAACATAAACTCACTGCCTCCTGAGGCTCCTATCTAATCTTTTGAGTTGCTGTTCAATTTGATCCTTACATGGACAGCTCTTAAGAGAGCATAATATTCAAGATAGCCCTTTCATTAGCTAAGTTAAACTATTGTTTAGTTTTTAGAAGACTTCAGGAAATACTTTTTATTAAAGTTTAATAAAAATTATCTCAGGGCAATAGTTTCAGGCTTTCATCCACCTTTCCTGACTCTAGAAAGTCTAGAGTTTTTGAGTATTTGAAATTCTGTTCTACATTTCCCCCCCTTTGATCAGGATTCTTATGTGGAATCTTTGATCAAAATGTTCAATAATGATAGTGAGGTACATACAGTACTCCTGGTCTCATGGCAAAGGAGACAGTTGTTCATGGAGGTAAATTAGTCCCACATTCCATATCTTCCCCTATTTCTGACTCCTATTCCTCTCTTTTTCCAGGTGAATAGAGACCAATTGTTAGGTGTTTGATGGCCTTTTTCAAGCATTTAAGACCCTAGGCACTACACAATGATTTAGGAAATAGAGTAGAAGCACTAAGCATGTTATTTGGCCAATTTACTGAGATAGCTCATGGAACCATGACCCTAAACTTCCAAACTGAGGAATCATATCTCATGAGGTGTTTGGTTGTACATACATAAGCAGACTCAGCACCTACTCTTTTGTTGTTATAAATATATCTGCCACACAACTTTTGCCAGTTCAACTCTGCTGGTGTACAAGTTACTGACAGCAATTAGAATGATCAGCTGTGCACCCCTACCCTTAATCAGTGAAATTTTTCCATCTCTGTTCACCCCCTATATACTTTTCTCTCCCAGCCCTGGTAACTACTAAGAAACTTTCTTCTCTATGCAAGTGCCTTTTCTTGTCTCTTTATATAAATGAGGTCATATAATATTTATCCTTTTGTATTGACTTATTTTGTTCAGCATAATGTCTTAAAACTCCATCTATATTATAACATGTTGGTTGGTTGGTCATGTGCCGTGGAGTCAGTTCCGACTCATAGCGATCCTGTACAGGGTTTCCAAGGCTGTAAATCTTTACAGGAGCAGAAAGCCTCATCTTTCTTTTGCAGAACAGCTGGTAGTTTCAAACTGCTGACCTTGTGGTTCACAGCCCGATTCATAACCACTGCGCTACCAGATCTCCGTATATAACATGTATCAAGACTTTATTTCTGCTACTGGCAGAGTATTATTCCATTTATGTACGTACCCTATTTTGTGTATTCATTCATCTATCTACAGCATTTTGGTTGTTTCTAACTTTTGATATTGAAGTGAGCATTAGTGTACAAGTCTATTTTTAAGTTTCTGCTCTCAAGTCTTTTGCATGTATACTTATGCGTGGAATTTCTGGGTCATAGGATAGTTTTATTTTTAGTTTTTAGAGAAACCGCTACACTGTTTTCCTCTATGTCTATACCATTTGCATTCCCACCAGCAGTGGGTAAGGGATCTAATTTTCCATATCCTCTCCAACATTTGTTATTTTCTCTTGTTTTTTTTTAAAAATCTTAGTCATCTTTGTTGTTGTTAAGTGCCATCCAGTCGGTTCCTACCCATAGCAACCCTCTATAGGGTTTCCTAGGAGTGGCTGATGAACTTGAACTGCTGACCCTGCAGTTCAAACCAACTTTGCAGTCCAGCCCATTAACCCACAGCACCACACCAGGACTCCTTTAGTTATCCTAGTGGCAGTGAAATGGTATCTCATTGTGGTTTTGATTTGTATCTCTCAGATGGCTAATGATGCTGATCATCTTTTCATGTGTTTGTTGGCCATGTCTTTGGGGAAATGTCTATTCATGTCCTTTGCCCATTTTATGATTGGGTTATTTGTCATGTTGTTAACTTGTCAAAGTTTTATGCTTTTTTTTTTTTGGTTAGTAGATTCTTTTTGAACATGTGATTTCTGAATTGGTAGTTTGCCTTTTTACTTTTTGGCAAAGCTTTCTGATGAACAAAAGTTTTAATTTTTAAGCCTCATTTATTTATTATGTGTTTTGCTGTTTGTGCTTTTGTTAGTATTTTAGATAATCCATTATTAACAGCTAGGCCTGACAATGTTGCCCTGACAATTCTTATTCTAAGAATATTACTGTTTTAGAAAATCAACATATTTTAATAAAGGTTAAGTCTTTAGATTTTCACTCTTCTTTGCTATTTCTGTATTCATATTATCCTTCATGACCAAGAGCAGCTGCATCACATTAGTGTGATCCCAAACATGTGTGTTACTATTATTCCTTAAAAAGCCTCTAAATTGAGTCTGACAATAGAATTGGTACCTCCTTTCTTGTTTTGGCAAGAAAGCAATTTGGTTTACAGAAAACTCGATGTATTTCATTCCAATGCCAGGCTGGAGGTTTAGGGAAATATAAAGGAAAAAGAGTCAGCTTCCAGCTTTTTAGATAGCTTGTAGACTATATACTCATAGATTTTTAGGTCTGAAATTATGATATAAATTTTGTTTCTAGGTAATTGGGTTGAAGTTTGCATTTTTTTCACATCTTTTGGGCGTTTAGAATTGATCCTTATTTCAATTCAAAGATACGAAAGCTGTTTTATAACTTTTAGCCAAATGAGTTTTCTGCTTATTTTAGAAAAGTCTGTGAATCTCATTGCTTTAAGAATCAGATTTATTTTTATCACAGACCGATTTCTACCCTGATTATTTTGTGTTCTAGTATTGGTGGTAGAGGTAGTTGAGTGCCATCGAGTCAGTTATGACTCATTTGCAACCCTGTACACAGTTTCAAAGAATGTAAATCTTTATGGGAACAGAAAGCCTCACCTTTCTCCCACAGAATGGCTGGTAGATTCAAACTACTGACCTTGCATTTAGCTGGCCAATATGTAACCCACTACACTACTACTAGGATCTGTTTTCTAGTATATTGCTATAGTCTCACTTTACTAAGTCTCAGGAGATTAAATGCTTTGTCCAGGTTTGTTCTGACAGTAAGCACCATTGCTTGGACTTACCCCACATTTTCTTATTATAAGTCCTTTCCAAGGTATATCAGTTATCTGTTGTTGCATTGGAGGAGGATATTGAAAGTGCCATGGGCTTCCAAAAGAACAAATGGGTCTGCATTGGAAGAAGTGCAGCCAAAGTGGTCCTTGGAGGCCAGGATGGCCAAACTTCATCTCTCATACTTTGGGAATATTGTCAGGAGGGACCAGTCCCTGGAGGAAGGATACCATGTTTGGTAAGGTGGAGGGTCAGAGAAAAAGAGGAAGACCCCGAGCAAGATGGATTGGCCAAGTGGCAGTATCATGGGCTCAAGTGTGGCAAAAATTGTGAGGTTGGCCCAGGGCTGGGCAGTGTTTCATTTTGTTGTATATAGGGTTGCTATGAGTCGGTACCAACTCGATGGCACCTAATAACAACAACAAATTGTTGCATTTGGAGTCCCAGTGTGGCACTGTACGATAAGCACTGGACTACAAGGTTGTTTGAACCACAAAGTTGGCAGTTCAAACTCACCAGCTGCTCCTTAGAAACCCAATACAGGGTTACTATGAACCGGAACAGAACAACAACAATGGCATTCCACCAGTTAATTACTTACATGGTTGTTGACAAGGATCAGTTTTGACACTTGGGCCTCTCTATTGTGTTTCTCAACATAGCAGCTGGCTTCCCCCAAAACAAGCTATGTAAGAGATAGAGAGGTTAGAATGAGAGCCTGAGATGGAAACCATACTGTCTTTTATAACATGATCTCAAGTGACACACCATTGCTTCTGATGTGTTCTATTGTCCACACAAACCAACTCTGATATAATGTGGGAAGGAGCTACACAAGGGTGTGACTACCAGGAGGTAGGGACCATTGGGGACCATCCTAGAAGCTGTCTACCACAGTTGCATCCCTAGTAAGTTGTATAATTACAGTTCAAATTCCAGTCACTTTAAATCCAGAGGCTTCACTTTTACCACAACTGTGATAAGTGACAAAGGGAATAGAGTGCCATTGGAGTTCAAGAGTGACTAATGCTGACTGTGGGATCAGAGAAGATACCATGGGAGGTAGCATTTGACCTGAGTCATGAAGAAACAGTAGGCGTTTCCATGTGAAAGAGTGGGATTCCAGCATGTTCTAAGGCTTGAAGACTTTAAAGTGTGGTGTGTTTGGATTACAAAATGTAATTTAGGGTGGTTGGAGTATAGGATGTATGATTAGAGAAAAAGATTGCCTGCGATTAAGTAGTTAATGGAGAACTTTAGAAGGTGAACATAATGTGGTAAGATTGTGTGTTCAGTCCTATAGACTTCCAGGGATGTATTTGTCCACCTAGATGTCCACATTTCTAGCCAGTGAACATGCAGTATATGTTTTAAAAATACTCTTCCTATAGTTTTCCAGTTTAACCTCAAGAATTTTTGTATTGCCTTGT